TAAATGGGTTTTCAAAGCAAAGAAATACTCACAAAGTAACATTGAGAGACATAAGGCAAGACTCTTTGCCAAAGGGTTCACTCAGAGGGAGGGAATTGACTATACATAAACATTTTCTCCTATATCTAAAAAGGATTCTCTCCGAGTAATTATGGCGTTGGTAGCTCATTTTGATTTTGAGTTACATCAAATGGATGTGAAAACGGCATTCTTAATGGTGATCTAGAGGAAGATGTTTACATGATACAACCAGAAGTATTCTCCTCTAGTGACGGTGAGCACTTGGTTTGCAAGCTAAATAAATCCATATACGGTTTGAAACAAGCCTCCCGTCAGTGGTATTTGAAATTTCATGAAGTTATTACTTCATTTGGTTTTGAAGAGAACGTCATGGATCAATGTTTATACATGAAGGTTAGTGGGAGTAAAATTTGTTTTCTTGTACTGTATGTGGATGATATTTTACTTGCAACCAATGATAGGGGTTTACTTTATGAAGTGAAACAATTCCTCTCCAAGAACTTTGATATGAAGGATATGGATGAAGCATCTTATGTCATTGACATTAAGATCCATAGGGACAGATCTCGATGTATTTTGGGTTTGTCTCAAGAAACCTATATCAATAAAGTTTTAGAGAGATTTCATATGAAGAATTGTTCACCGAGTATAGCACCTATTGTGAAGGGTGATAGATTCGATTTGAGTCAATGCCCGAAAAATAATTTTGAACGGGAACACATGAAGAACATTCCATATGCTTCAGCTGTTGGAAGCCTTATGTATGCTCAGGTTTGTACCAGACCTGACATAGCATTTGTTGTTGGAATGTTGGGAAGATATCAGAGTAATCCAGGTATAGACCACTGGAAGGCTGCAAAGAAAGTAATGAGATATCTTCAAGGTACAAAGGACTACATGCTCATGTACAAACGAACTGATAATTTGGAGGTGATTGGCTACTCCGATTCAGACTACGCTGGCTGCATTGACTCAAGAAAATCAACATCTGGTTATATTTTCATGCTAGCTGGTGGAGCTGTATCTTGGAGAAGTGCTAAGCAGACCTTGACTGCTACTTCCACTATGGAAGCTGAGTTCGTATCCTGTTTTGAGGCTACCTCGCATGGTGTATGGTTGAAGAGTTTCATATCTGGGCTTAGAGTCGTGGACTCTATTTCAAGGCCATTAAAGTTGTACTGTGACAACTCAGCTGCAGTATTTATGACTAAGAACAATAAGAGTGGAAGTCGAAGTAAACACATCGATATCAAATATTTAGCCATAAGAGAACGTGTTAAGGAAAAGAAAGTGGTCATTGAACACGTTAGCACTGAGTTGATGATTGCGGATCCTTTGACTAAAGGCATGCCACCAAAGAATTTTAAGGATCACGTAGTACGAATGGGACTTGGTTCCATAATGTGATTTACATTGTACGAATATTTATTGAAACTCTTAATTCAGTTGATGATTTCTCATATGGTTTTGTGCACATATTTATTCATTCGTTTATTTTGAGAAATCTCATTCGGTTTGGACTTTGGAATAGACACATGGTTTATTCATTAAGTTGTATGGGACAGTGTTGAGAGACTTGATATAGTGTAATACATGGAAGATAATACTCACTATTAGAGGACCTATCGTCATGATTCATATATTTTGTTTCTCTATATGATATGTGTTGAACTATATGAACCAAGTGGGAGAATGTTGGGATTTTTTCTTTAAGATTCCCAAATTAGTTAATAATGGGAATTAAATTTATTTCTTTAGAATTCCCAAATTAATTAAAACTCTATTTTAATTTCAATACCATTTGGAATTCCAAATTAATTTCAATACCCTTTG